CTGACGTATAATTAAAATGATTGGTTTATTTAATTTATGTGAGACCTATGATATTGAATATATCTACTCATTTAATGACATGTGAAAATTGTATAAAAAAATAAAATAAAAAAATTGTTTATATAACATCATCCAACATATATATGTATATATTTTTTTATCTTAATTATATAATTAAAAATAATTATTTTTTATTTCTTATCTCATCTTATCTGTCATCTTATCTTCACATATTATACGACTTAAACTTAAAATTTTTTACTTTAAGTAAAAAGAGATTAACAGCACTAACGTAATATTTTTTAAGTAACCGTTCTCACCATGTACTTTGGCCACAAGAGAAAAATGCTAACCATGTACGGTTGATTTATAAGAATTGAATATTACCACTAATAAATTTGAACAATTGCCATGGGAATTTGCGTATCAATTATGTATCATTCGATATGATTAAAATTGAAAAAGGTAATTCTGTATCCTTTGAGTTGCATAGTGTCAACTGCCAGCTTTATACAAGGTTGGAGAAAATAGAACATTCTTTGGTATTTCTTTCTTTTTACACATAAGCAATTTGTTGTTGGTACAAAGGTAGGCAGGAAAATGAAAAAAAGGGGTTACAACTGTAGAAAATACAGACAGGCTTCCCATCAGCAAGTTTGTGCTTGAATTGGTGATCTTCCACGATCATTGATGGTTTAACCTTTCTGGATGTAAGTTACCTAAGCAAGAACCTAGTTACCTTTTCAAAACCTGATGCAAGGAAAAACACACTCATTTAGCAACCTTCTTTCTTTTCTCTAAATAATTGATTCCCCATATCATCAAGATACATCTTAGGTTAAATATAATCAGAATGGTGCTTGTATCAATGTGTGCCGCGTGCATATGTTGTGGGGTGGGGATATGTTAAGAGTTGCAGAAATCACTTGTCTTCTGAACTTTCATATCATTCTGTTTAGAGGAATCCGATTGCCCTGATAAGAAATCCTTTGCATAGGAGATATTACTTGTGGCATTGTCATACCGACAGAAACAATAATCTCTGCATTAGAAAGTGAAGTGATATGATGAAAATTAAAGGTGATATATCACTCAAAGATGCAAAGATACTTGCAGAATTGAGACTAAAGAAATGTATGTAATAATGGAAGGGAGACATGCAGGCAGTCTAGCATTTCTAAAGTTACCCTAGAGTTGATTCAGTTCCAACCTATTAAATCTTTTTCCTGATAAATGGCAATTGTAATATACTCCTATAGACCACAAAATGCTGAAGGCGATTAAATTTTAAAAAAATAATGAGACTGACCAACCTTAATCTTCTCATTACTAGAGACAGGGATTTGGCATATATGAACAATGGGCAGTTTTAGGGTTAATGAAGAATAGAGACAGTTTTCCTTCATTTCTCCCTTTCTATTCCTCTACTCCTTTATCTTTCCCCTACCCTTTACGTGTCCCTATCCCTATTTTCCCTTGGGTGTTTTACCTCTGATGCTGCACTTTGTACTTATTATTACTCTGTATTTCAATAAATATCAGATAGAACCAATATGATAACACATAACAAATAAAGGCTTTCGTTTCAAGCATCATGGTGATGAGCTAAGAGTTGTACAAAATATATGAAATTATTATCTCAAGGAATGGATAAACAGACCTATGCCTTCTCGAATTGACAAGTTCGGTCTTATGATCTCCTCAGAATTGACAAGAAATATGTCCCCGATATATAAATGGTTAGTTGGGACATAAACACTGCATAACTCTTCATCTCCATTTTCCGTCTGGAATCAACCAACCAACCAATTATCAAATCACATCACACAAGCACAGGAAGAAACATAGTGAAACATAGCTATATCTGTAACCACAATCACAAATCAAAAAGCTGTTTTCCATGATAACATCATCAGCATTTTGTAGGTCTTTCAAACGAATCAAAACACCAGATTAACTTTACATGGATAATGCAGACTTGCAAACTAATAGACTTCCAAAATAATTGTCAGCACAAAAAGATCATAACTATGAACATGTTGAATTTCAGCCTGCAGATAGGAACTATGGACAAGTGGAAGCCAACAGATCAAATTGTTTATATTGAGGCATTGAGCTCATAATAGTTACCTGAAGGATAACAGAAGATGTGATAAAACCAAATGCATATTCACCAAGACGAGGGTGGCGAATAATTGCGACTTCTTTAAAAGCAGTGGTATTTTGATCTGTAAGGAATAAAAAAAATGAAACTTGTTAGCAATGGAATACAGAAGGTCGAAGTCAATACCACAATTTTCATCATGAATACACCTTCACATAAAGCTTCAGGGAAGCACCAAAGAAGTATTGCCAATTAAGCCATCACAGCTTTTTACCCACGTTATATCACTCCACTCATTATATCTCCATTTTGATTGATTAAACATTTAACACCTTCCAATTGATTTAAAAATGTCATTCTTTTAAGTGGTTGAGACATATC